AAAAAGGCACCAAAACAGTTACAGCTTGCCTATGTCCTAAGCCAATTCAAAAATTGAAATCACCATATCCGCGCGCGAAAGTCGACATGGGAAAAGAAAGTCCTTTGTCTGTCCGTATTCTCACAAAATTCCTAGAGTCCTCTCCGACGTGACCGAGAACATTCATGCACAAAAAGGACACGTCGGGTTCCGCGCATTCTGGAATTCCTAACTGTCGAGCCCGATTCCTAGTGCGCTCGCTAAGGCGCACGCAATTTCCCATACATTTCCCGAATTACAAAAAGCGGAATTCCAAGAATCAATAGAACCTCTGAAAAATGGGGGCCCAAACAAGGCACCTGAAATCAAGAAAAACGACGGGGGCTTTGTTGGGCTAGTATGATACAATGGAAATAATTGAGTCAAGGGGTACGAAAGATAGCACGAGGTCGGGAAGTGGTTCGTCACATATGTGACGCGCAGGGGGTTCCAAAACTATGCGATCTCCTGATTGCATGAAAAAACCTTGAACAAAGGAAGTGCGAGGAGACGAAGAAGCAGGAAGAAGTAGGAGGAGACGAAGAAGCGGGAAGAAGTAGGAGCTCAGATCAGCACAATCTATGTCAGCAGAGAAAACTAAGCCGGGGCATGAGTTGGCGACAACATCCGTGGCAAAATCTTCATGATGCATGTCGGCTCGTGCTGTTTCGGATCCCATCCTCTGTCGTCCTCTCATATGCAACCCCCTGCCCTTCAATCCTCGGAGACCATCCAGGTGGAACCATCATGGTCCATCAGGTCTCCGTGTGCTCTGCACTCCCTGTCCAGCACAATCCGTCGAATCAGAGCATGTGTTGACGTCATCGTCAATGGCGTGATCTTCACGAAACTGCTGATTCGTGCTGCTCGGGGGACACGTGTCGATCTCTCCAATCGATCGCCACGCTCAGAACGGTCTTTAACAAGAAGAAGGTGGGATGCGCTGCCGTCGTGACACGTGGCAGGTATCAGCGCTGCGTGGGAATGGGGAAGTAGGCATTGTACATGGAGGGGTGTCGACGGGGAGGGTTGGGTGGAAGTGGGGGTAAGTAGCGGTTCATCCCTTCCTTTGTCAGTGGAAGCTCCTCGTAGTGGATGATCCGGTGAAAGCGGGGAAATCGGTCGCAACTGTGAGGGAGGGAGGCAAGATAGTCAGAATAAAGAGTGGAGAAAGTGCGGAAAAGCGCCGCGTGAAATAGCTCGTGATGGCGGCATGCTGGGATGGTTCCTGTGATTACGCAGTAGACTTCTACTGCGTTGCTATGCTCCCACGCGGCACTAAACAAAAGGACGTGCAAACAGAACGTGGGGTTTGCACATTGAAGGGAAGGATGGGGATAGACGGTGACGGCGAGGCGGGTGGAGTAAAAGTGATGGAAGGTATTGGGAGGGAAGGGGTTACGAGTGAAGGTGACGGGGGTAGAGATCTGACAGAGGGTGAGGTAACTGAGGGGACGGCGGGATAATGACCGGGGACGAAGGCCGATCCCCTGCATCGGTACGTGGACGAACAGGGGGACGGGCTGAGGTGGAGGGGGAGGGGGACCGGCTCTGTCTCCGTCGCGATGCGCTCGGAGTCGTGGTTGCTGGGTCGCCATCTTCGGGCTTGGGGGGCTCCGGATCCCGGGTCGGGTCATCGTTGATGCGCAGGTTCGCCCCGCTGGTGAACTCCAACTGGCTTTTCCCGGCGGCAATCTCTTCCCTCTTTCGTGCCACCTCAAGATCTTCCGCCTCTGTGCCTGCGCGCGCCGCTTCTTCCGGCAAGGCTTCCCACTCCGATCCGGCTTCCTCCTCTTCGTTGTCTTCTTCTTCTTCTTCCTCCTCTACACTCTGCTCTCCTTCGCTGTGCTCACTATAACTCCCTTCCTCCGACGTTTCTTCTTCGTCGTCGCCCTCTTCTTCGGAGGTTTCTTTTTCTCCTTCTACCGCCTCCTTGAACGAATCTTGCTTCGAATAGAAGGCAAGATTGATGATTCCGGCCGGCTTCAAGTACTCCTGCCGTGACGGCAGGGCGCTTTCACTTCCCGGTTCCTCCAAGCACGCAGTCCATTGAAGATACGGTGGCAATGTCTGCGTAAGGACGTGCGGAGCCGAACTCTCGTCACTTTGCGAAACGATATCGAGAGAGAGGTCGTCGACCAGTTGCGCGAGCGGGACGAGAAGATCGCCCTCTACGTCAGCTCTCCAAACCTGGATGATCAGCAGCTCCAGGTACTCAATATACGCCTGATGCTCGTCGGCCCTCGTCCATGTCACCTCCACTCGGGCCAAGCACACAGACGGATCGACAAAAGTCTCGCGCCACACCCGCCAATGCCTGGGATTGAGGAGCAGGACTGCAAGGGGCTCGGGCAAGAATGAAAGGCGAGGATGAAGATCGGATTGCCAGAAGGTGGGGAAAAGAGAGGGAAGACCGAAGGTGGAGAGAGGAGCGAGAGGAGCGGCGCGGTTCATTGGGGGCGTTGGAAGGGGACGAGTGTGGGGCGCACCACTGCCGGTTGGCGCGTAGAGGTGCGGATCTCGTCGAAGTCAGTCCCATAAATTGGAACGAGGTTGTGTCCGGGGCGCGCAAGACCGTGATGCCACTCAGTCGATAACTGCTGCGTCCACTCCTGTAATGAGGTCAGGATCGCGGTATGCCGAAGCGGGCTGACCGCGCTGATATCGCCGCTGAAGGCAGCGATCGTGGTGACGCGGCTCGTTCCTGGAGCCGCCCGCCGATGAAAGGCCACCACCTCTGCCAATACTACTGCCTGCGGACTTCCTGCAAATCGGAACGTAGCGGCGGCACACACACCCTCGGTGCAGAAGAACTGCGCCAGTCGTCGAAGATCAGGACTGAGTCGCGGATGACGAACTTGCCGGATCTCCGAAATGTAGCCACGTGGCTGCAACAGATGATTGCCAAGAGCTTGCTTCGTGATGAAACTCATGGCGAGGACGGGGAAGAAGATGAGAGGTAGGAACAAAAGGGAAAGAACGAGACGGGAGCTAGATCGTCGTCGTCCTCGTCTTCAGTCGACGAGGGAGACAAGGGGAGATCAGAAGGAGGGAGGGGACGGATGTAAGAGGTATGGCGGACGATGGGGACAGAGCTATGGCTGGCGCTGGCCTCGGGCACGATGCGCACCATGTTGGCGCCGTTGGGTCCGAGCTCAACAACGCGGAAACAGCCAGAGAACTTGGGAGCGAGTTTTCGGTCGCGTGCACATTTACGTACCTGCACTAGGTCCCCTAATTTATATTGGCGTTGGGAACCGACGTTCCCATTTCGGGCCTCGTAACTACGGACTTGCCTCCCGTGGGCTAGATCAGTCATTTTTTGTCTCTTTCGGGCTAGCTTCGGGACGGCCTTTTCCATCAAATCGGCGTACCTTTTCGCCTTGGCCTTAAGGGCGGCACGCGTGTCTCTACCCCCTGCTTCGGCAATTTCCGAGTTGCCCCGATAATCGACATATGGGAGGCTATTGGTGCGAAGCTGAAAGGGGGTAAACCCCGTGGATTCGTGAGGGGTGGCCCGGTGAATTCTGACGATTTGGTATACGATTTCGGGCCACGGGCGCGTGTCATGCGCCGCTAGATTTCTACGAAGGGCAGTCTTAATCATGCGATTGGCATTTTCGGCCAATCCATTTGACTGGGAAACGTGGGGTGCCGTGTGTCGAAGTGTAATGCCTTGGTGCACAAGCAATTCCTCTACCTCTCCTTTGAATTCAGACCCGTTGTCGGTTAGAATCTCTTCCGTATCTAGGTGGGTATAGAGAAACCGATCGATGTATGTGGCTATCTTTGTGGCCTTATGGGTCTTACAGGGGTAGACCTCGATGTATTTAGAAAAATGATCTATTAAAACTAAAAGGATGAAATATTCGCAACGGTTTGGGCCAGGTGGCACGTCGATATCTGTCGTGTCCATACTGACTCGCTGGAAAGGGCGCTCTACTTCCGTTGGTACTATCGTGTTTGGTCCCCGTATTAGGGCACGGTCGGCGACCACGTATCTGGCATTGTCCCATTTATTAGACCAGAACCATCGATTCTGATCTATAGTTGCTTCAGAGATACGTATCACGAAATGAGGGACCTGCTCTTCGTGAGCAAATCGGGTCCAATCATATCTCTGGAAGGGATGGGGAACCGTCAACCACAAACCCGATCTGTCATTTTTATGCTTTTCCAGGTGATCGTTGATCCATCGGTAATCCCGGGACCTCTCGGTAGCCCGACGTCTATCGTGCTTAGTGAGATGATCCAATGGTAAACCGGCCAATTTAGCTAATAGAATTTTATCCGTCCAGACCTCCGCTCGTCGGTATTTCTCGTCATATTCAGGGCCGTCCGTTCGAGCAGCCTCGAATCGAGCCTCGGTGGGGAGTTTGTCCGTTCTACACAGAGGGCACTTCCATACCCTACTACTCGTTCAGTACCGAACGCATCCACCGTGCGCACGATTGACACACGTGGCACAGTCCACCCAATCAACGAATCTGGTATCAAAAGGATGACATTCCATGTCATAAAACCGTGTAATACATGTACAAAAATACCAGAATTTATCAGGAAGGGTGGCGAAGAAGGCCGAGTCGGTGTGATGGGCGGAATCAGCAGGGGAAGAGGGGGTCGCAGAGACAGGTGGGGTAGCCATGATGAGAAGGGAGGAGAGAGAGAGAGAGTAGGGTTGTAGAGAAGGTGGAACCAAGGCCCCATGTCACTCACTCCTTCGACAAAATTTCCACTTGCCCGTACCTCGGTCCGTTCTCATCCTTCGGCTCGTTCCACGAAATCACCTCCTCGCTCTTGGGGACCTTCTCGGGTCGGTGCAGTCGTGTCAGTCCGTCAACAATTCCCATGCCTCTCGTGCTTCCGATGCCGAATGTCAAAGTCCATGCTCCGCAACACCGTCACCCATCGCCCGATCATGCCGAGTATCCTTAGACTTCTTCAGGGCTAATAATGGCTCATGATCGGTGACCAGCGTGAACTTCCGCCCATATAGATAGGCTCGAAAGTGACTGATCCCCCACAGAGCCGCATAGCATTCTCTTGTCGGGGCGGCGTAATTGCGTTTGCAGGCAGGCACCGACTTAGACGCGTATTCCACCACGTATTCGAGTCCGCTCGGTCCCACCTGGGCCAAGACCGCTGAGATTGCCTCCGACTGCCAGTCCGTGATGAGGACAAAAGGTTTATCGAGATCCGGCCTTATAAGGTCCGGGACCGAAATAAGAGCTGCCTTGAGTTTCGAAAACGCTTGATCACACTCTAGCGTTGTCGACACCAATACCCTTACAAGGGTAATTGTGCGTACTTTTGCACCTCGCAGGGGGAACACTCTTGATAAAATTTAAAGAAGTAGAGTGTTTTTCGCTCGACCGTGACTGACTTTGAAGTCAGGGACGGCGGGCGCACGCATAGCTTATTCAAAGAGTGTGTGGGCGTGCACTTTGTGGGCACGCGTTAGTTAAATAGTGTGAACAGATGGACCGSTCGGCGGTCCAAGTTAAAAGTAAGCTAGGGGTTTGGATAGCGTAGCACGGGCCGCAGACTTCGAACGTACTGACGGAGTCGCCACCGGCGCGAAGTTAGACCGTCGAAGCTATGGCTAGAGGAAAACTTTCGACTGACTTGCGGAAGGGCGGCATTTTGAGGCCGCACCATGTAAAGTATGCAAGTACTACAATTGACTATAAAGGTATCGACGGTAGGAGCTGTAACAAAATTGAGCTAGGTACGACGCGTGGATACGGCGCGAGCAAAAGTCGGGGTCTTTCCGACCAAAGACGATAAAAGCATGCTCTTTTCGATGAGTACTGCGGGCTACGAGAGCCTCGGCCCGTGACCGCGGCATGGCGGGGAAGTGCGCATGGTAAACTCAGCAATAACCGTCCTCCTAGCAGAGAACATGGCCATACGGGGCTTGGGCTCAAGGGGCAGACCAAGAGAAGGCGTTGGTGCACCTTTGCAGGCCCGGATAGGCTGTAACAACCTGCAGTTACTCTTCATATGCAGAACTGGGCCTGCTACAACCAGACTTGGGCTTAGCCCTATTGGTTACAACATTGGACTTCCATCGCGCAGATCCTGGGATTGAGGCCAGCATGCTGCAGCGACGAAGCGAGGAGTGCGTTTGGAGATAAACCAAGGGGTTGAGGGTCCTGTGGGACTATCCCTTTTGGTTTTGCGGGGAGTCCCGACAGCGGGCCCGATGGGCAGGACTGAGGGTCGAGTCCCGACAGTTCCCGTTCCCCAACTCGTTTTTTCTAGTTTTCTTTTAATTTTTATTAATTATTATTCCTATTTTTTTGTTTTTATTTTTTTTATTATTCCGTCCCATATTGGGACGCGGCCCGGTACCGGGACTGGCCGTGGATCCCAAGAAGCATAGCTCAGTCGGTGCACCACGAAATGCAGAAATGCAGGCCTGAGCTTGAACTCCGCGGAAGGCAGGTGAGTGAGAGTCTTACCTCATGAGTGAAATGCCGCTACCTTTTTAATTTCCGAGAGGTGGAGTTTGGATAGGGACGACACAGCAACAGGGTGCGTCGTCTGCCTCTCACGATCTGCTGAGAAAGTTTTGAGTATGAGCATGCCAGTTGGGACCAGAAAGATGCGAATTGTCTGGACGGAGTGGCACAGGGCACAGTAGGGAGATCCGCAGCGGTGCAGACAACACAAATGTGTGCATGAAACCCTTCTCTACTTCGGCCTTTAAAGCTTTCATTTAAACAACGTGTTATCACCAAGGTCTGCAGCGGGACCTGTTTCACCTGGGCTCATGCCGCGTGCTGCACAACAGGCCCTGCATTCTCTTACTAGTAGCAGATTCAGAATAGCCGTGATGGCTGAATAGATTGCGCACTTCCGTACCATCCATCTGTGGGGGCATGCCGCGTGAGTCAAGGCCATGTAGAACTATTTGAAGATCCGGAGACTTGGTAATTTCCCGAACTGTAGCCTTGAGAGGCAACCTCTGCGGTGGGCTGGTACCAGTCCCCAGGGCAGCAGACGACACAAACAAGTCTAACTCAGTTGGTACACCCACGAACTGTTGAAAAACGGGCCCCTGTTCGAACTCCACTGGATGCATATCAGCAGGACACTACCGACCGCTCCGCTGTTGCCAGTTGGGTATGCCGCGGGGCTCAGCCCCGCTTGTATCCCTTGGGACATCCCTTAAAATTGGAATTAGCATGGCCCCTGCATTGGTTCCGGGCCTGGTTATACTACCCAAGAGTTTAGCTCAATGGGCACACTCATGAACACCTTGAACTGTTGAACTGCGGACCCCGCTAAAAACAAATGAGTAAAAGGCTGCAACAGTGAAGTACCCGGGGCTTTGGTTCACTATAGTCCTTCGGGACATTCGTTAAAATTGGAACGATACAGAGAAGAGTAGCATGGCTCCTATGCAAGGCTAATAAATATTCATTGAGGGGCTTGAGCCATAGGCCTATAGAGTAGCGACCTTTATTTGACACAGCTAGGCCTGTGCAGAGTTATTACTATTGCTTTTCTTTTCTTTTTTTTAGGGGAGGTCCATAGTATTCGAGACCCTCTTAGTTAGCTTTCCATCTAGATACATGTAGACAATTCTGCGCCTCTGAGTGTCCGCTGTTTAGGTCAGTAGGGGAGTGTTGGGAGGCAGGGAGAAGAATTGAGTAGAAGAGGGAGCAGAGGCCGATGGGTTTGAGGTTCACCTCGCTGCTATTGCTGATTCCCAGTTTTCGTGGAGGATGCGCTATCTCTCCGCTACGTTGGTATGATCATGTGTGTGGGGCGTCTGCTGCGGTGATGGCAGCCATAGCTTAGGCCAGATAGCTCCATTAGCAGCAGCGCCAGACTCGGCACTCAGACCACCAAGGCTGCGTCAACCTAAAGGAAGAATGAATCTGGGCATACATCTGCTCGAGGTGCATTCAGAAAAAAGGGGGGGGGTATGCCGGGAGAGCTAGTGAGGTACAGCATGCTCGTTTCGGAGTGGATTTAAGTAATGGAAAGTGTCCTATAGGAGGTTTGCTGGAGGGCGAATCAAATAGGCAGACTAAGTTTGGCGGACTGGAGAGTGTGTGAAGGAGTAGAGGAAGAAGAGAGCCGGCGGAAGTGTCGAGGGGGAGCAGCGAGGAGAAAGGAGGGGAGTAAGTTTTGATTATCTCGCTCGTTTCTTGACCATTTTGAGCAAACCAGGACTCTAAAATGGGGTTTTTGGATATGGCAAGTTTGTTTGTCGCGTCAGATTTCGGGTTTAATGGATCGTTTGGTTGCTGTAAGTGTTAAGCACTGCGCAGGGGGATGAACCTAGCCACTTTAGAACGAAAGATTCCGCCATATTTTTGTAGGCTAGATGAGTAGAAGAACGCGACCTTAGCTGTATGACCATCACCCTCGTTTTCTACGAGAAGGGCGTGTTCTCCTTGTAGGACGAGACCCAGTTGCCCAGGCTGGACTGGCTGCTTCTTCTCGGCAGGTTGTATAAGCTGCTGGTCGCCGTTCGCGCCACGTTATAAGAACTGCGTGAGCCTGCCAGGAACCCAGGCCGGGGCCACCGRAGAAGGGCATGATGAGATGGGGCTTTGAAGAGGGAGAGTCGCAACAGCGGTCAAGAGGGAGATGGTAYGGTAAGATGGTGTASTGAGTGAGGTCAAGGGGGAGTCTCAGAGTGGTGGAAGAAAAGGGACGGGGAASAGAAGGAGAGTCCGGAGGAGAGAAAGAAAAACGGTATAGGTGAACCAAGACGGGAAGTTGGCCAGGTACATTGACTAAAAAGAAGGAGGTGCGAAAAGCCAGGGGCGAACGGGAAAAAGACACGAGTACCCATTGTAACTAATGGCATATCTTCCCACCCTCAAGGCGGAGTTTCCTACTCATTTTTCTTTTCTTTTCWTCTCGTTCGGGCCGTACTCTACTCAAACATAGCTGAGTTTCGAATTCGCCCGGTGTCATCGTCAAAATAGTTGGCTCCCACCTATACCGTCATTTGTGTTCACACTCGTAGCCCTTGCCRTTKAGATTGAGGTAGCGGGGGCTCGGAGGAGACCACGGCTGTGGACACTGCCAGGAGGAGGTCTCAGCCTGGTCTGAGCGGCGAGACCCCGTTCCAAGCTGTTAAGCATAAGTTCACCTGTTACTGTTACTGAAGTGTCACTGGCAAGCTATTTTTAGGGAGGCCGACGCTGTTAAGTTTGGCTGTTGCAGACGAGAATTTGTGCATCGTAGTTAGGTCTACAGTAGGAGATAAGGTTGGCTAAGCGGTGACCTTGCCAAACCTGAGTTGCGGTAGCAGGCGGACCGACTCAGTTGCGAGCTTAGCAGAGTCGCTGCAGCAGCTGCCCTTCGGAGGCCTGTGCTGCACGGTCACGAGCTGAACAACTGCAAATCTGGCCTGGGCCGATATTGTAGTAGGTGATGGTGTACCATAAAGCGCTTAGCCATGCGGGACTACGCGTGATCTCCGGGAGGTAATGTGTGAAGGTCCTGGTTTACTCGTAACCGGATGCAGCGAGGGCTGATCGCCGTTTTGTAAAGGCCGACTGCGGCAGTTGTTCAACAGGTGTTATGGGACTCACAACTTGCTTGCTGGCCAAGACTGAGGAGTCAGCTGTTGCTGAAGGGACTGTGGCTATTTCCAGGGGTTGGGGCTGCCAACCTGCAGTATCACGGCACCCTACAGCACCACTGAGTTCTTTGCTACTATGTATCTGCTGCCCCGTTGGCGCTGCAGTTTGCTGAGTTTCGGCCGAATTATCCCTGCGACACTGTAAATACCGCGGGTTGTTAAGTATACATGACAGTGTTGCTTTGGTTATTCTTGTCAAGAGCACTACAGCCGCTGTTGTTATTGGGCACTACGACTGTGCATGCAGTACTTGGTGCGTTGCCTGGCCACTTA